GGGGGGGAGGGGGGGGATGATTACGTTTTCACGTTGTATGTACTTTGTATTTTGCATTTTGCATTTTGCATTTTGCATTAGGAATGGAGAATGGAGAATGGAGGAAAGGAAGGAAAACGTCACAATGGGATATGGGGATATGATGGGATGGATATGAGACCATGAGATAGTTGGCAGTTTTTGACTGCCAACTGCACAGCGCAGCGGGTATTACATACAGTACATGGATATGGATATGGATTGTATATGGGGATTGAGATGGAGATTGAGATGGAGATTGAGGTTGAGGGAGATGGAGGTTGGGTTTGGTGAATAAGAATAACTAGTTTGGTTGATGTATGAGAATGAATGAGCGATGAGAATGAGAAAAATTAGGAAATATTAAAAAAAAAAAGTTAAAAAATTAAAAGATTATATATATGTGTGCGTGCTAGTGCGTGTGTGTGGATTGGGATGATGAGGTGAGATGATGAGATTGTGAGGTAGTTGTGAGGTGATTGTAATTACAATTACTGAGTATTATACTCGAGTACGAGTAGAAAGGATTATATTACGATTATATTACTTGAGTATATACCTATATGAGTATATATAAAAATATCTCATCTTATCTCATCTTATCTCATCTCAACTCAACTCGATACAACATAAAATCTATTCTATTCTATTCATTTATTCTATCTATTATATTTATCCATTTGGAATGGGAGGGGAGGAGAGCGAGAGGAGAGCGAGAGGAGAGGAATGAAGAATTGAAGAAGTAGGGGGCATGAGGTGGGAGGTTTGAGATTTAAATATTATAAAATTTATGATTATACTGAGTAGAGAGAGGGTTTTATCAAGTAGATGGGGAGGGAGGGATATGAGGAGGGGGAGAGAAAGATTGGGGGAGGGAGGAGGAGGGAGGAAGGGGAATAAGATTGGGGAGTATGGGGGATAAGAGAGTAGAATATAGTTCAATACGGAGTGACGAAAGTAGTAGAAAGTATAATCAATTATGAGTATAAACAGAAGCATAACTATAACAACAATAACAACCATAACAACAATAAGAACATGAACATCATATCTCACAACAACTAGTATAGCTTTCTTTTCCTTTGACTCGAGTATTAAAAGAAAAATCAAATGTTTGAGTTGGGTTGGGATAAGATCTAGTCTAGATCTTATTCCAAAATCTAGATTATATACCCCTTGCTTTGCTGTCAACGCATCTCGCATCGCATTGCATTGTATTGTATTACTCGTCATCGCATCGCATCTCATCATATCATCGCAATATATCATAGTACAACGTTACAACGTTACAATAGATAGCACAGCAAATCTTATTCTAAATGCATATACAATGTGTATACATATGTATCTCTTCCCTGGTCCTGGTCCTGGTCCTGGATATGCTGCATAGAATAGAATAGAATAGGACATGCGGTACGGTGCAGTGCGGCTGAAACGGAATACTCATTCGGGAGATCAAGAATTGAAATCCGAAGCTTTTTCGCAATTACCTAAATATTTACTATATATGAATTGCTTTGAAGCGGTCTGTCTTGTTTGTCTGTCTATCACTGGAATATCATATCATATATCTTTTCTTTTTTGATATACCTAGATATCGATCCTGAGATCTGAATTGATTGATAATAAGAGAAGAGAAAAGAAAAAGAAAAGATTAAAAGAAAATAGTAAAATGATATTCTACTTGAGTATAGACAACTGTCTCGGAACTTTCTTAGGAGATAATTTTGAATGTCTAATTGGTATTGAATACATTCAAATCAAACTTTTGATCGAGAATTAATTCATGATATTAAGAAAACAGTCAAATATATCATTTATCTAAGTTATAGCCAATTTCTTACTTACTACTACGAGTAGATTTCTATCACAAGTTATATCCCTGGATTTTCTTGGTGGGATTTGGGATAGGATGTGATATGAGTGAGTGAGTGAAGTTATAGAAAGATAGATTGATGTGATATAATAAACTTTGTTATTGTTGTTGTTATTATTGTTGTTTTGTATTTGTAGAAAAGATTATATACCTAGTAGTTCTGGTTCTTGAAGATATATAAGTAAGGTCAAAAAGCCCAAGGAAACTCGGCCAAGTTTTATACAAAATAGATATACAAGTATAGATAGTATGCAATATGTGCAGACAACACCAAGAGTGATACAATACTGACTTAATACAGAATCCCGTAACAAGATCTAGAACTGGTGAAAAGAGTTATAGTTTCTTTCAAAGTTTTGATCCACTACTATAAAATTGTGTATAAAGTTTGGAACATTTATTGGTTTCTTGGTTTCTTGAGTGACTTGGGGATGAGTTGGCAAAGAATCCTTTTGTTTTCGTTTTTCCTTAATTTTGCTGATGGGTCGATGGTCTCTTCTGCTGGCTTGTGCTGGTACCCGTTAGCGTTTTTAGTTGCCGGTAAATATAAGATTAACCCCTGACGCTACTGCATTTAAGGCTTATGCCGAGCAACTGCAACTAACTAACTACTATTGGAGAAAAAGAAGGAGGAGATTTGGATTTCCTTTCATTGAATGAATCACTTGAATGTTTTTTATCCAATGTCATTCATTTCATAAGGTCATGATTATAAGAATTTATGATATATTTATATAAAGCCAGACCTCATTTACACATTTCCATTTCCCCTGATTTATAGAGAGAGAAATGAGAGAAATGACAGCTTCTACCAAGCCTCTCCTCTCTCCTCTCAGCTTACTAGCCGCCCCCATCTTCTCCTTTCATCAACATGATTCTTTCCCACAACCCAACCTTTCACTTCTTCCACCCATTGAAGTGCCCAAGTGAGTTGTTCTCGTGCCCAGTGTTGCCAAGCAAATAAATCAAGAGGTTTTTATATTATTTGATTGATCTTTGTGACCAATGATGATCGACATCGTATTTTAAATTTGAGCATCAATCCAATCATAATTTGTTCGTGCCTGCATCTTTAAGATATTATCTAAACTCAATACGGGATAAGTAAGTTCCTAAAATGGATAATATGATCCCACTTCTTTCCGTCAAGATATGGTTATGATCCACTTTCACCGTATAAGATCCGCTATCATCCCAAAATCATTAATGATCTTCTTCTTTTTTACTCACTCACCTCCTCATTCATTCAAACTCAAACCACATTCACTTTTCTATTGTACCCAACCGATCTTTGATCAACTTACATTCGTTCTTCCATCAACCAAATCAAATCAAATCAAATCAAATCAACTTCAAAACCATACAATACAATACAACTCTACATCCTCCATTCAAAGAATCTACCTCTCAACCTCAACTTTCAACCCACTTTCTTCAAAATCTCAACTCAAATTACAACTTCTCTCTAAACAACATAATAACAATACCAATCTAAATCCCAATCCTCAAAATGCAATTCTCCACCATCGCCCTCATCTCTGCCCTCGCAGCCTCCGTTTCCGCCAACGGAAACCACAGCATCTCAGCCGTCTGGGTCACCGATGTCGTTACATCCTTCACCACCGTCTGTCCCGCTGCCACCACTCTCTCTTTCAACGGTGTAACCTACACTGCTACTGAGGTAACATATTCCTTTCCCCTGAAATATTCTGAAATCGTTTGCGTGGTCGATATACAAATGTCGAGTTGCGCGACTATTTCTTTTCTGAGTTTTGAGATTGTTACTTGGAAGATTGTAATACTAATGCGATTAACAGAGCGAAACTATCACGATTACAAACTGCCCATGTACAATCTCTAAGCCGGTTTACACCACGTCTTCTGTTATCTGTAACACCTGGTACGTATCATTATCATCATCATCACACAAGAAACCCCCATTCCCCTTCCCAACCCATCATCCATCCCATCCACCGCACCTCACCTCACCAAACCCAACTAACCTCCCCCCTTAGTACCGCCCCCTCCCCATCAGCTCCCACCGGCTCAGCTCCCGCCTACGGAAACAGTACCACCCCAGCACCCACCACAGCCGCCTCAAGCAGCAACGGAGGATCCATCGGAACTACTTCTCTCCCTGTAGTATCCAGTGCTACCACTGCTAGTCCTTCTGCCTCTACCACACCGCTCATCGTTTCTAATGGTGGACATCGCGCTGTTGTATTCTCGGGTGCTGGACTTGCTGGTTTGATTGCTGTTGCTGCTTATGTTTTGTAGGCTGGTGAGTGAGTGATGGAGTGAGTGAGCTGGTGAGCATGGGTATGGTTGTAGGCATGACATGGCATGGCTCTTGTGCGCACAGGAACTTTGGAGGGGGAGGAGATGATGTCTGGACTCTGTAATGCTAGTTAGTTAGTGGATGAGTGGATGAGTAGATAAGTAGCTGTGTACGAAAGTAATGGAATGGAATTAGTAGAAAATAAAATAGATAAAATTAATTAATTAATATTATTTCACTGGTTTAGATTTTTTTTGGGTTTTACTTTCTCATAAAGATATTAACATTACCATTCCATCTTACTCTAGTACTCTAGTACTCTAGTTAATATCCTTCCTTTCAGTGTTTTTGTTAATCACTTTGCTATGTATATTTGATTTGGTTTGGTTTGATTTGTTTTGTTTTAAGGCTAAGATTGATAGAAGTTGAAGTTGTAGAGGAATGGTTGTTACTGGTGTGTTGGCTGGCATATTGGCTGGTGGGTTGGCTAATTGGTCGGTTGATTGGTCGGTTGGTCTTTCTTTCTCTTCTAGATAGAGTAAGAGGGAAGTGAGTATGAGTATGAGTATGAGTAAAGTGAGTATGTGAGTGGGTGTATACTAGTGTATAGTGTATTGATTACTTATATAATCTATTGATGGATGGATGGGATGGATGAGAGTTATAATGAGTAGGTGGATGGATGAGATGAGATGGG